TTAATTCTCCAGTGTGTTGGTTTCTACAGAACTATTAATTTTTTTTTGATGAAGGTTACTTCCCCTTTGCAAGTGATTGCTAAGGTATTAAATGTTGGTTTTTGCAGGATTTTTTTTTACAAAGGTTACTTTGCCTCTGCAAGCAATTGTTCAAGTATTAAAAAAATTTTACTTCAGTGATTTGATCAATGAACTAGGTTAATTAGGAAAGTTTTCAGAGACATTAGCTCCAACCTATTGTGGTAGAGATTAAAAATGACTTTGGTTTAATTCTGCAATTTCTTCCTGTACCTCTCTCTGTCTGTGTTCATTTTTTCCATCTCTTCACCTGTTATCCATTTTCCTCTGGTACTTTGCTGTTGCCTTTTCCTTCCTTTTCTCTTTTATTCCTCTGCCTTGCCCTTCTATTGTGTTTTAGTGCTTTCTTTGCCTCATTATGCCTTTTCCTTTCTTTTTGTTTTTGCCTTCTGTCTATCTGTTGATTCTCTTCTCACTCTCTTAACCTCCTGTTGTCTGTGGACCAACATACTCCCCACCCATCATCTTGTTTCTCTTTTATCTTTCCTCCTTTTTCCCACTCTTTCTCAGCTCCTCTCAACAATAAAAGTTACTCATGGCTTGTGGGGGAAGCATCTGGCCTGTGCTGGCACTTGTTCCTTCTCCTTTGTTTTGAATGCTCTTTTGTTATAAACACAACAATCAGAAAAGCACAAAATAATCTCTCAAGGCAAACACTGCACAATAATCCCCCTTGTCCCTGCTCCTCTTATCTCTGAAGAATTTGTTCTCCAGGCAAAATTATAAGAAACATGAGAAAGGATTCACTAAACTTGGAGGGGAAAGATAGAGTCTGGAATGAGCTTCATCATATGGGGAAGCACCACTGAATTGAAAGTTGGGCAGATGTGACAAAGCAATAAGTGGAAGGTGAAATGTAGCTTACCAGGAAGCTGGAGAGCAGAGTAATTACTCTGTAGTTGATCAGTCCCTGTTGATCATTCGCTGTTCCCATTAGGTTGTGGAGGCATGGACAGGATCAGAAATTTTGAGTTTTTTAAGCACACAGTTTCTTGTACCTTTTCCCCATTTGTTGCTTGAGCCAAGGCATTGTGTATTTGAAACCTGTGGGAGCTCCACGGACGTTCTCAAAAAGCCACGGCAAGGTGTTTCTGTGGGGTTGCTTGCCAGCTCCAGCCTCTGGGATAAACTAAGATAAGAACAGTCTTGCGTGTTGTTGGGGCTCTTGCTTAATTCTAAGTAGGTATCTTTCTGATTAAAACATCTTTCCTCTGAAAATGTAAGTTCCCTGGATATGAAATGTTAGTTAGCATGCACTAGTTTAGACACACACGCAAGTGTTCTCAAAAGCTAAAAAGAAAAAGCTTGTTAAGAAACAGATGAGCCTTTCTCAACCCCCATAGCTCCATGGTTAATAGACAAGTGTTTAATGTGGGGGGGCAGCCAGCATCAATTTCTACCTGGGGCCAGTTCTACTTAGTCCTTCCCTTAGAAATCTTGTATCCGGATGGCCACTGGCAACCTGCAGTAGGCCTCCATCCTAGTGCAGTTAATGGACTTTGCATAATACATGAGTATTGTATTTACAAAAGGACTAGGTGGATAGTTTTAGTTGGTGCAGTATCAGATACCTCTGCTGAGGAGGTATTAAGGTACTTCCCCAACAGCTGATCTTCAGAACAATTATCTATGATGGGGGTGGTAGGTGTGTGTCCTAGGACAGAAACAAAACTGACATATAGGAGGAACAGGCTGTGATGCAAACTTCAGATTTAAATAGTTGAGCACTAGCCGATGAATCCAGACTGGGGCAAAACTAACTGAAATGCGAGGGTGAGGTGTTTTCCCCACATTCCTTAGAGAAATTTGGGTTTCAGTGATGCATTTTGAGTTTGTGTCTCTTTCTTCCTGCTGTTTACTGCACCAGCTCTGTAAAGATAAGGAAGTGCCACCCACTGTGTTCTGTATCGTGTGTCAGAGATTTAATTTTCAGCTAAACTCTAAGTTGGACTGGTAGCTACGTATGTATTTAATCTAATCTTGAAGTTTGGATTGCTCAGCACTTGCGACAGTCACGTGAGTCAAGAATAAACTAGGAATGAGGCCATTTCAGAAGAATGCTTTTTGCAGTCGAGAGATTGCCTCTGAAATTTGGATATGCTTAGAGCCTCCCCAAATATGGCAACTTCCCACACTCACCACTAAATGAATATTTCCAGAGCTAATGCCAGGGTTTGAGACAGCTGGGTGATCAGATTCAAGGTGGAGTTTGCTATGCTTGCCAACAGATGGAAAATAAGCTAGGAAAAAGAAAAATGTGAGCCAAGATTAGTCAAACAAAGTCTTATGGAACTAGTGCTGGATCCAGCAGCCTGATAGAGGCAAGGCTGCCACAGCTCCTTACTCCCAGGTACAACCAGTAGCAAGGCTGAGCATGTATTTCCAGTAGGCACATGCACAAAAATACACATATTCACCACTTAAGTACACATATATACATGGCCACCACACAAATCTACACAGACACACAGAACATTTACACAAACACAAACAGCACCAATGGCCGCAGCCTGTTCCCCTCCCAGATTGAGCAGGGTGGAGGTCCGCTAGTAGGAAATATACATTTATATACATATACACATACATATACATATACATGTGTATAAGGTGGATCCTTGCAGGAGCTGGGCTCAGACACAGTCTACCCCCAGATCCCAGTCTCCCCAGTGGCTGGCACTGGGGCATATGAGACCGCAAGGCTGCAGCCCCCCTCCTGTTGCTGATACAGATCCCATCACTTGCACACACAAACGCACGTGTGCATGCATGGCTGGCCAGGACTTCCCTGGTCTTGCCAGTAGCCAACCTGCCACGGCCTTGCCCTTAGAGACACAGACACCAGTGGATCTCACCCCTATAGACCCCCAGATCCCCCACGCTCTCTGTCAGCTGGCTGGGACTGTCCTGGTCTCTCCAATAGGCAGTTCCTCCCTCACAGGCACCCCCTGGCTCCCAGACCACTTTACCTGCTTGCTGGCTGGTCCAGCTGGACCCTTACGAGTGCTCACAGCCTCACCTGCATGCCCACACTCACTGCACCAGGGGCACATGGGCCCCTGTGACCTGGCACTCAGACCCCCATACACACCACATCACCCCACCCCCAAATGGAGAGTACTTCACCCAGGAAAAGAGTTAGAAATATAATTGAATAACAAGATAGGGCAAACTGTGCTAATCAAGTGCAGGGCAAGGCTGGACACGTGTGCTGGCCAGCCAACAGTTGGCATGCAACTGCCCTTATTTCGCTTCATCCCTCCCTTTCCTCACTTTGATTGTTCCCCTGAACATCCCATAGTAAGTCCTGCGCAATCCCGAAATGCACTTCCCCTGCATTCTGTGATGTGTCTGCTGCCCCTGTAAGCAGCACCCCCTCCCTACCCCAGGCTGGAAGGTGCTCCAGCCATTGAATCTTTGTGATGGGTTTCACACCTGGACATTGGGGCTGATGGCTCTCCTGGGAGGGGCGGGCCCAGGCAGAGTGTCACTTCCTCTGAGTCCTTAATTTGGGTTACCATCTGCCATTGTGCCCCTATGCTCCTCTGGATGTGTGAAAATGTGGCCTTTGATGTGCTGATGGCTCTTGTGATGGGCCTGGGAGTAGCTGAGGCAGGGTGTCATTTGCGTCCTCCTCCTGCCATTGTCTCTCTGTGCTCCTTTGTGGGTGTGTGGACAAGCTTTTATTACATAGTGTAAGAAAGAGGAATTTGCAGGTTTTCTTTGCACTTTTACACAACTGGTTTTCTGTTGGAAATAGTATTTTAACACCAACACATAAACACCCATGAAGGGAGTGAGGGAAAGTGTCACCCCATTTGACCTGTTAATTTTCAGTGATATGGAGTCAGGTGACCATGCCAAATAAACAGCAGAAGTGAAATTAAAGTGTGAGCGTTCGAGTTCCTCAGAATCTGGTGATGAAAGTGATGCCTGGTGCTAAGATAACTTTCCTAAGAACGAAAAAACGGCATAAGTCAGCTTTCTCCCTCTGCCCTTGCCCCCAGCCCCAGCTGTTGGCATTTTCTGCAGTCAAAGTGCTCGGCAGGTTCTTAATTCAGTGAAGACTTGTATTGTTTGACAGCAGTTTTGTCTGAGATTCAAAGCACAGCTCTTCATTACTCTCCGGGAAGAGAAAGATGGACAACAAATAAATATGAATCACAGTAGTGTAGTTTGGTTGTAAGGGTACAACTTTGGGACTAAATGCAGCTGCAGAGTCACAACTCAAGCGTTGCCCCATAGATTCTATCTACGTATGAAAAATGTATTTAGAAAAACAAGACAAAATAAAACAGCCAAACAAAAAAATCCCCCCAAAACCGATTATCCAGAACTGTGCCTCATGCCCAGCTTTGGGAGCTGGGAAGAGCATCCACAGAGCGCAGCATCTTCATGCTTCTGCCGTGCTATTTATGCCGTTGTATTTAATCCGCCCGCCCCCCCCCCCGCCACTGCCTGCCAGCCTTAGACTGGGAACAGCTTTATGTCATGAAGCTCGTTTCATGCAGATCACCATTAGCTAACATTTGCGTGGCATCCCGCGGCTCGCCGCGCACCATGGCAGCCCGGCTGCTCAGCACGCACGCCGCCGGAAGGCCGCTGATGTCAGTTTTAAGTCAGAAAGCTGTGTGAGCTCAGAGGATCGTTTTGGTTTGGTGGTTTGGTTGGTTTTTTTTTTTTTTTTGGCGTGGCTAATTACGGGATGCTGGGGAGCTCCTCCCCGGCCCCTCCCAGCACCCTCCTCCCGTAGCAGAGGCCATAAATCCGCGGGCTGCAGGGGGGTGAGGGCGTGGGCTCGCGGGGCTCGGGGCGGTTGCGGTGCGTGGGCGGAGACGCCTCCTCGCGGGTTCCGTTAGGCGGGGGAGCCGTTCGTCGCTAGTCGTTCGCCGGGCGTCCGGAGCCGTTCGTCGCTAGTCGTTCGCCGCCGACGATGGATGCCGAAAAGGTAGGGAGGGAACGCGGATTTCTTCCATCCCCGCTGCGGCCGGGAGGTGGTCGCCGGCGGTAGCCGCCGCTCGGGTCCCTGGGCGCTTCGGCGGAGGACCGGGGAGAGGGGACGTGGTCGCTGCTGGCGGGTGGTCGGGATTTATCGCCGCCTCGTTGTGCGCTGCTGCCGGGTGTCTGCTGGTGAAGATGGATGCGGTGGTGTTGGCGGCAGGGCGTAGCTGCCCTTTAGCGAGTGACTTGGGAAAAGCCCCGGCTGCGTGGGGTGCAAACATTGTTTGCAAGGAGTTGTTGCAGATCGTAAGACTGATTTGTTTTCGTGCGTGTGGCCTGATGATCCGCGTGATACTATCGATATTCCACTGTATTGATCACGAAGTTTGTTTTGCTGGTAGGGCAGCACTCGTTTGTCCCGGGATTCATGATGGTAAATGGGGGATTACTCTTAAAGGCTTTTTTTTTTTTTTTTTGGTGTGTGTGTGTGTGGTGATATGGTTTATAATAAATGTTCTTCTAAATTTCAAGAAGAAAGCAAAGCATGTCCTTCCTCCTTTCTCCTTTGGAGAGCAGGGGACAGAGCGTTTGTCGGTAACGTAGTTATTCTGCAGCTACGAGTGATGCGTGCATCAGTGGAGTGAGCTAATGACTGTGTTTGCCTGCATCAAGGGAGAAAAGCACAGGCATGAGGAAAGAGCAAGACAGCAAATATCCAGCTGGACCCGGTGCAGGATGCCAGGGGGTTATAGTTACACAGGAACAGAAGAATCGGGGAAACCCGGGGCCCTCACTGCCATATTGATGGGAGATGTGGGTAGTGTGAGAAGATGAAGCAAAGGAAAAGAGATCATTTGGTCAAGGTCGCTCAGAGGACGGCCGAGAGGCCACTTTAATTCAACAAGTTGTACTGCTCTGAGGTTCCAGTCAGTGAAGGAGAGGGGGGCTGGTGAGAAGCATCTCCTGGTTTATGAACGCTGCTGAGGCCTGTGGTCAGAGGTAGGGGTGGTGATTTCTTGCCAGTGTACAGACCTCAGCCTTGAGCCTTTGGATAGGGTGGGTGTAGCTGTACTATTTCTGAACTCCCTGCTTGCTTTTTGGGAAGTGGGGCACTCCCAGCAGTAACAAATACATTAGATCACTGTTGGTCTGGCTCACTGGAGGGGATGGGTCAGGCCATGTGATGTCTAGGTGGTATGAGACTGGGTAGGAGATGAATAAGAGACAACAGCCAGGAGAAGGTAGCATGAAAGAGGGCAGAAGAACTAACCTTATGTACCATGTAGGTAAGTGGTACCCACGAATCGGGTACCCTGCTGCACCCAGAAGAAAAAGGCCAGCGGTAACCACTGTAAGCCATGACAAAGCAGAACCCTGGGGGGAAGATGCTCTTGTGTTGAGTCACTCTGTTGAAAATATGGAGAGCTGGGTTTTGTCCTCAGCTTTGTTATGCCTGCTGACTCGGGATGACCTGGCCTGGAGTCCTGAAAGTGCATAGATGTCTTAATGCCCTTTTGCAGGCATCCATCTGCTTTGAAAGAGCCGCATCTTTGCGGTTCAGTGCCAAATTTCACTCACAGGAAAACTAGGGGAGTGGTCACAGGATGGCTGGGAGAAGAAGGCCTAGACTGCCTAGGGTGTGTTCAGGTGTGAATGGTACATCTATCCCCTGCAAGAAAAGGACCTTGTCCCCTTTGTCTCCATCACTAACCTCAGAAAGAAGAGAGTTCAGCCTGAGACATTTATGTTGTGTAGGTGGGGGAAACCATGCCTGAGAGTAATTTCCCCAGTTTCTGTTTACTGGGGCCTAACTGGTAGCTGTGTGAGGCTTGTGCAGGCCAGAAGCAGCACCTACATGCTTGGCTTGAAAGATTGGTAAATATAGTGTGAGCACTGGCAAATGGTTATTGGCAGGAATTTAAGGCAGCCTTGGGAGCTCTTGCTCCTGGAGCTGAGCTGAAAAGTGAGAGATTGGAAGAGCTGTGACAGTAGGCCCCGTAGAGTACTTTTCTCTCCCCTGCCAGGCTTAGGACAATAGTTGGAAAGCCTTGGAAAAGAGACTGTTAATATTTTTGGAAAAGCTTCCAATCCCTCCTGAGACAGAAACACGATCTTTCCAAATTGTGCCAACTCAAGCACTGGCCATTTAAGTGCCAACTCCTGAGTCACCTGCTCCCCTACACCTCCCTAACATAGAGTAGGCTTAAATGCCACAAGCTTTAGAAATGTAGAAAATGCCAGATGCTTTTCACTGACACTTCAATGTCTCAGTCTGTGGGACTGCAGAGGTTGGACCTTCAAGCTTCCTCTGTCTCAGCAGTTCTTTATTTTCATTTAACAAATAGAAATTCATACACACTCAAATACCAGGGGCTATGCTTCATTTAAAATACCAAGTATTGCCACAACATCAAGAAAAATAAACAGGAAGGTTGGCAGCACTGATGCTGCCATGCCAGGTGCCCTGCAGCAGGGTTGGGAATCTCTAAGCCTGGGAAAAGCAGGCATGTTGCTGAAGAGTGCATGTTTTAACTGTTAGGAGTGACTGCCAGTATGGCTCATGGGCAGATCCGAGATCTAATTTATGGGAACTTGTTGGCTGGCATGGGGAAGAGTTGGACTCTTGTGTCATGGTGTGCCAGAGATCAGCAAAACCTTTTCTGTAAAGCAGATCAACCCAAAATAACAGCCACTAATGCAGCCAGTGTATTCATTACTAATGAGCTGAGAATAGTTGATGAATGTTGGGAGATAACAAAGGGGAGGTCCTGGCAGGTCCTCCTACTTCTGGTCACAGAACTTCTTCCTGCTGTACAGTTGCATCTCATCTGGAGTCTCTCTTACTTATACCCACCCTTGCTGGATGAAAGCCCATTCCCAGCCCTTGGTGCATGTGCACGTGGCACCTATGAGCTGCAGCTGCTGTTTGATGCTGAAGAGAAACTCAAGTTGTGTAGAAAGCATGAACAAACAAATTAACTAATTTTCTGTCTCTTTATACAGAAAATCACAGGACCCCTTGTTTATGCTGTTTCCGTTGCTGCCATTGGATCTCTCCAGTTTGGGTACAACACTGGTGTCATCAATGCCCCTGAGAAGGTGAGAGGGAGAGTGAGTTGGGGAGATGATATGAGTGAGGGGCTGATGAGAAAACAAAGGTGTTAAAAGGAGAGGAGCAAGCAGCTAATAATTTGGTTCTGGTTTATGAAGTCAAGAAGGCATTCAAAACCCCCATTCAACTACTTAATGGGCAGGAGGGAACAAGTTTTGGGGAGGAGAGCAAGCAGAGAGGTTAATTCCCTGAACTAGGAGTGCAGAGGGGGCAGGAGGGGGTCCATCTGCCATTTCCTGGTAGGTCTGTATTTGGTGCATGGAGGAATGTGAACCACTTCAGCTTTCACTCAGAATAAACCAGCCATGGCAGAAGGAATATAGAGAGCAGCATGCAGAAAAGAGTTGAGGGTTAGAAGGCATTACAGTTGCTCTAGTTGAGAAATGTCGTTTTCTTGTATCTATAAGATGGTTCCTCTCTCTTGGGAACTGAGTCACCAATACCACATCCACCCTGTCTCCGGGAATAGATGTCACATCACATGTTTGGGGGGGTGGGGGGGGATCTTCCCTAGCTAATGTCCTGCTGCCATCTGCTGGGGGCAAATGCTCTGAGGCCATGTTCCCCCTCAGCCCTTGCAGAATTTCCCTCATTATCAAAGGCAATACCTCAGAAATCAGCAGCACAGCCCTGTCACATCCCCATGGGACAAAGAACTATTTTACATAATACTGTAGTCTTGCAGGCTTGGCTCAGTGAAATTTTGTGTCTCTTAAACTATTTCCATCCCAGAAAGCTTGTCCCTGCTGCCAGAGTCCTGGTTTTGCCAGAAATGTTTCCTTCTATTCTCTGATCACATTCTCTTGCTCCCTCTCACTCCCAACTGTCTCTCTCACCACCCAAGCACCACCAATGACTCACATAATCCAGAAACATTCAGAAGATAAACCTGTTTTCCTTCATCACTGGCCTACCCCCCACCACATTCAGTGAGGTAATCTCTCCCTTATCATATTGCTACACATCTCTGAACTTCTCAATGAAAGTTCCTCTTTCTGCACCCTGATCTTCCCCTTGTATGACTTGTTGCTGCCTACTGAATTTTTAGGGTCTGTTCTTGCTTCTTGCCTCTGTGAAACCAGAAGGAAGACCTCAGAAGTAATCTCTCTCCCCAGTGCAAAATGCCTCCCTCTGGATTGTAACTGTCCCCACCTGGTTTCTCTTGCAGATCATTCGGGGGTTCTTCAACAGAACATTATCAGAAAGGAGTGGGAATGTTGTCTCCCCAGAGCTCCTCACCTCTCTGTGGTCCCTTTCTGTGGCCATCTTCTCAGTAGGAGGTATGATTGGCTCCTTCTCAGTCAGCGTGTTCGTCAACAGATTTGGCAGGTAAGTTGGGAAGAGGCATCCAAACCATTAAGAAACTTTTCCCTTCTACAATGGAGTGTTGGAAGAGGGCAGAGGTGAGAGGAAGGGAGGATAAGGAGGAAGCAAGAGTGTGTGGGCTGCACAAAGAAAGGGTTGCAGGCCAAGGCAGGAGTTGAACAGGAGGTACCCTGTTCTCCTTCCGCCCCTGGGATGGGCAATCATGGCTAGATTTACCTCTCTCCCAATGATTTTCCCACTTAAAATGTATTACCAGTTTAAGCTCAGTCTTGACATCTTTACCTTGGCAGGAGGAACTCCATGCTGCTGGTGAACATCTTGGGCTTTGCTGGTGGCACTCTCATGGGCTTCTCTAAGATGGCAAAGGCAGTGGAGATGCTGATTATTGGCCGCTTCATTATTGGCGTCTTCTGTGGTCTTTGCACTGGCTTTGTGCCTATGTACATCAGTGAGGTCTCCCCCACCTGCCTCCGTGGAGCCTTTGGCACCCTCAACCAGCTGGGCATTGTTGTGGGCATCCTGGTGGCCCAGGTAGGCTTGACACAACCTGACCCTGCCCTCAGGGGAAAGGGGGGCTGGGGGAAGGTGAGGTGGGCTCCCCTTGCCACCAGGTGTGGTATGTTGTTCTGTCATACTCGCTAGTATGGGAGTGAGGAATCGGAGTATTCAAATCCCTGGATTTCTCTCCAATTCTTGGTGTAGATCTTTGGCCTCGAAGGAATCATGGGGACTGAAACACTTTGGCCACTGCTTTTGGGATTCACAGTCCTCCCAGCTGTCCTGCAGTGTGTGGCTCTTCTTTTCTGCCCTGAGAGCCCCCGCTTCCTATTGATCAACAAGATGGAGGAAGAGAAAGCGCAAGCAGGTAAGAACTCATCTCTGAAGTGGCAGGGCTGGCTCTGGGCCTGCGCTGAACTTGAGTGGGAGGTTAGGACTGACTCTGGAGCCTGTGGTGGATCAGGGTGTGACTCCTGGAGAATACCAGGCCTATCCTCCCATCCTTTAGGTTGCACCAGTGCCACAAAGTGTGAGAAACCTGGCATCTCAACAGAGACACCAGGTGGGATGAAGACATGAGGAGTGGCACCTGGCCTGGTGGGATGTAGCTGGGCCAGCTCCTGCAGCTCTGTCAGCTCCTCCTGAAAGGCAGGAAATAGGCTGATGTTTAACGAGGAGCTTGGAGAGTGTTTCCCTCTCCTACTACAGAGGGCTGGAGTCATCTCTGGCAGAGATGAACAGAATAGTATGTAAGTCTGGAGATCGATCAACATGAGCAGGCTTGGTTTCTATGTTGAGCACAGCACCCTGACCTCTGTCTTGAAAAGATGAGCAAAGCTGCACATAGAGGCCCAGTCTTTCCCACACAGCGGGACCAAACACTGACTAGCAAGTGGTCCAGTCTTCCCAGTGTGCCCTCCCTGAAACAGCAGGGCAGGTTTGGGGGAACCTACTGTGGGTGTGTTACACCTGGCATTTTTTGATTCCTCCCTCCAGTTCTCCAGAAGCTCCGTGGTACACAAGATGTGTCTCAAGACATCCGGGAGATGACAGAGGAGAGTACTAAAATGTCCCTGGAAAAGAAAGCAACTGTGCCAGAGCTCTTCCGTTCTCCAAACTACCGTCAAGCCATTATCATTGCCATTGTGCTGCAGCTCTCCCAACAGCTCTCAGGCATCAATGCTGTGAGTTATCTTCCTGTGCCCTCTGCTGAGGCTCCCTTATCTCTGGCTACACTTGCACTTGCTACTACTGTTGAGAGAACTGTGCTGACAAAACCCCCTTTTGTGCCTAGACTGGAGGTCCCTGTGTTGTGCTAACTGCAGAGATTGCCAAGATGAAAGGTGGAGATAATATTGGCTTTCAATTTTCCCATGTATACTTTGGCAAGACATTGCAGCCCATCATCAAGTGAATGAACCTTGACTGGAATCATGCTGTTTTATACTTTGAGTGCTTCTTAGAAGCTCCCTGTTGGGTCTGCAAGCCATGAAACAGGGAACAAAAGACATGTTCTCAAACACTAGATTTGTAATGATGTCCAACTTGTGCTTCTCTTCCCAGGTATTCTATTATTCTACAGGGATTTTTGAAAGAGCTGGCATCACACAGCCTATATATGCCACCATTGGAGCTGGTGTGGTAAACACTGTCTTCACTGTTGTGTCGGTAAGTGGAACGGAGCCTTATGGTGAGAGGTAACTTGTCTGCCTAGACTTTTTTGGAAGATGTGACTGAAGATAAATAACCAGGCAGTGGAAAGCATTGGATTAGGGAATGGCCTATAAGAGCAAAGAAAAGAATACATTAAAAACATTGTGGAAGAGGAAGAGGGGAGAAAGAGGTATCGTTATCCTTTTCACACTCCCTTTATTCTAAAAGGAGTGCATGGGAGGAAAAAAATGAGTGAAGGCGGTAGCAAGAACGAGATGGGAAAAACTTGTGCCAAGGGTGGAGCAGCAGCCTAGTGACCTGCACTGAGATCGACACTGGCAACTGAGGTCTACAGGCAGATAAGAGGTGCAGAGCACACTGAGCAACAGAGTTTCTTCTGCCCTTGCTGCCAAAGTCATGTTTGTCTGGTTTTTTTTTTTCTCCCCTCGTTTCTAGCTGTTCCTGGTGGAGCGTGCAGGGCGCAGGACCCTCCATTTAATTGGTTTGGGTGGCATGGCTGTGTGTGCTGTTCTTATGACCATTGCTTTAGCTCTGAAGGTGAGTAGTGTTCTTGTCCAGGCGGACCCCATCAGGGAACCTATAAGACTATGTGAAGCTGCCTTGCCCTGCAATTCTACCCTGTAGGCACATACAGCTGGGGCTAGAGCTGAGTGTGAGGGAGAAAGTGCAACTTCCTCACTGTGTAAACTGTGCCACAGTGTTTACAGTGCAGCTGAGAAGGCTGTGACACTGGAGATATTGTGTTGTGCCATATTTGCCCTCAAATTGTAACTGATCGTGTTTTGTTCCCTTGCAGGACATTGTGGAGTGGATCAGATACATCAGCATTGTTGCCACTTTTGGCTTTGTGGCTCTTTTTGAGATTGGCCCTGGCCCTATCCCCTGGTTCATTGTGGCAGAGCTCTTCAGCCAGGGCCCACGGCCTGCAGCCATGGCAGTGGCTGGCTGTTCCAACTGGACCTCTAATTTCTTGGTGGGAATGCTCTTCCCCTATGCAGAGGTAAAGACCTGGTTTGCAAAGCACTGTCAGAGTGCTGCCCATTGGAACCAGAGAGTGGTTGTAGAATCTCTGTCCTTGGAGACTTCAAAACATGACTGTATGACCCTTAACAACCTGATCTCTCCTTGAAGTTGTCCCTGCTTTGAGCAGAGGGCTGGTCAGTCTTCCAGAGATCCCAGGTTCTGTGTTTTGATTGTTACTGAAGGTTAAGAGTGTTGTGGCTCACCTTATATTCTGCTGTCTTATCTGCTTTGTGACTTACAAATAGTTGGGAGAGCCATCTTAGCACAGCAAGGCTTTCCCTTTAAATTCCTCAATTTTGCTCACCCCCAGGAATATTAAGTAATTTCAGGAGCCCACAGGAACCTGATTTAATTTTAAAAAATGCTGTGTTGAAAATAAGTTAGTAAAGGCATTGTTGGAGAAAGGTGTTAGAATTTTGACCTGTCAACAGCAAATGACACTGCATTTAGGTTTATGAGCTTTTCAAATTATATATGCTTCTGCTTTTGTCCTCCCTGCAGAAACTCTGTGGCCCCTATGTCTTCCTCATCTTCCTTGTTTTCCTGGTCATCTTCTTTGTCTTCACATTCTTCAAAGTGCCGGAGACCAAGGGCAGGACTTTTGAAGACATCGCCAGGGGCTTTGAAGGACGAGCAGAAGCCAGCCCCACATCACCTGTAGAGAAGAACCCCATGGTGGAGATGAACAGCGTACAACCTGAGAAAGAAGTTGCCTAAGATTCATTACACACCCCTTCTTCGACTCTTACATGCTTAAAGAGTCATTAAAGGAATGAGCAAAGAAAACAATGAGAACTGGGACATTTTTTCCCCCCCTCAATTGCTGCTATTTTCTTCTTTGCACCCACATACTCCCCCATTCTGCCAGGCTTACCATCATTTAGCAAATTTGATATGGGTGATCCCATTTTCAAGTACTGGAAGACACCTGGCACTTGCAAAAATAATCTCATCTTCCCTGCCACAAACATGAGAACAGAGAAGAGCTGGCAATATTTTTGCTTTTCTCACCTATAATTGCTATTTGGGGTTAACATAGTTATGCACGCAGTGACCATTACATATTTGAATCTAATTACTATTTTTGTAGTGAGTTGAAGTGACCCACTAAACAAGTCCCCATCCCTTTGAATCTACTCTCTGTGTGTGTGTGGTGTTACACTGGAATTTAACAAGCCTACCAAAAAGCCATCTCCTTGCTTTTTCTTATCCAGTGTGCACTTTTTTCAGCCTCAGGAAAATGGGACCAAGCTACATGCATATTTTTTCCTGCTCTTTTATTTTTTTGTATAGACAGACTGAAAGCATACTTTTACTTAAGTTTATTTATTTGTATGTCACTTTGTAAATATTTATTTTTTTAATGATGTACAAAAATGTACAGAAGAAGTTTAAGAGAAATAGCTAATCTAACAAAAGATGCTGTAGACTTGAGGTGCAATAAGACTGTAAAGGAGAAATGTGGTACTAAACAGGAGACTGGGCATTTTGGATGCTATGTACAATAGAGCCAATTATGTGCAGCACCTTTGTTATTTGTGCCCTCTGGAAAGAAATTCAAAGCTTTGTGTACTAGTGAGAAGAGGTATGTTTGTCCACCAAAATCTCTATTATTTGGGATAGTTTGGGTGGCAATTTTAAATATTGGTCCCAGGAGTTGATTGGAAAGTGTGGTATTGCAGCAAATGGGTAGTGTTAGTTTTATCTTTTCAGTCATTGTTCAGCTTATTATGAGGTGATTGAGGGTGGTGATTGCAAACCACAAGGTAGGTAACTTTTTTCTGCTTTCTTAATTTTGTTTGGCCTCAGCTGTATTCTAGTAGATCAGAAGGACTGAAATGCGCAGATTGTTATGTAAAGGTGTGAGGACAAAAGTTATTTTCTAAAACTGTAGTTTTCTTAGCTGTTGTTAATTATTAATAAATATTAGACAGTGGCATGTAGCATAACCCTTCTGGACATGGGTATGGTCAGTTATGGCATGTGTAAGTTCATAAAGGTAGAGATGCAGGACTAGGGACCAGGGCTGCTGGAACTTGCTAGCTTAGCAGTGTGGAAGGTCTGTAGCGCTCAGTCCACTGATCGGTTGTAGGCCAAGTGTTTTTTGCCCCCTGTGTCCTCTTTGGAAGATCTGTGTGATGTTGTGATGCTCACCAGTGTGCAGCATGCTGTGTAGATGTGTACAGCTCTGTAATCCTGCCTCTGTTAAAAGGGATATGACAGAGTAATTGTACATCTGTATATATTAGTCTCCCTGTTTTTCATACTGCTAGGCAAATGAGAGTATGTATACACCTACTGTTGCTGCCAAGCTAGCACAGTTCAGCTGAGGAATGCAAAAAGTAGCACATGTGGTATATTTGCAATCAAGGGTTGGGAGCTTTGCTTCACTGACTGCAGTGCTCTGCTGGGAGAGACTCCACGCCAGGCCTGTGTCCGCACCTGCCCAAGCTATCAAAGGTAGTGTAGAGGTAGGTCCAATTTAAACTCCTGCTCTAAGATCTTCTGCATTTTTGGACTTGATCAAATTCAGTTCTACCTGCAAGTTCGTGCTGGAGTTTGTTGCTGGATATCCTAGAAGAGAAGCAGGCCCACAGATTCCAAAGTGGGTAAGTAAAAGGAAGAAAGACTCAATGACAGGAATGGCATCAAAGTTGTCATAGCATGGACAGCTTGAGCTTTCTTGACTACCTACTGCTTCAGAGCAGGTCAGAGAAGTTGATGTACATTCTGGGGGCACGTGTCTGGCATTTTCAGTAACTACTGTGATGACATGTCTACGTTCCCTAATGAGAAACTGTTGCAAAGATCAGTAAAACTGGCTGCTGTGAAATAAAAAATCTAAAATACTGCAGCTTTGTGCAATGCAATCCTGTTACATCCAGTTTTTCCTGGCTTTCTATCAGGCTTCCATGCCAGATGTTTATTCTCAGAAGTATTATATATTACTTTCCCAATTTTTGTATTTTGGCTCAGTTATACAGATTTTTGATCCTCCATCACTTCCAGACACTTCTATATGGGCATCTAGATGTTAGGAAATTCCCCCTACAGCTGTGCATAAGAGCATTCCATAATTTGTGTCAGATGTGTGTTGCCTTGAACTGAAATGCATAGGTCTTTCTCACATGATATTTCTCTTTTTTTTTTCTGTAACAACATTGTGAATATTTTGGATGGGTTTTATATGCTTATTAATGTGATTGTTTCCTGTTTTTAAAATAAACTATCGAACTGAGTATCTGGTTTGAATTTTACCTTTACCCGGTAGGTCTTCTGTTTCTTACTCCTTTATCACAGCCTGGGACTACATCCTAGAACCTGCAACCTTTCTGTCTAGCCCAGCACCCTGGCTTTGCTGGTTTATTCTAGTGGAAATGACCATTTCTCTCAGCCTCCATTCATATCACCTTAATAAATTCCCTTACCACTATTCCCTAGGACTTTTCAAACTCAAAAGAGGTGCTTTCTGGCTCTTGTTTGCATACAAATTCTTTCCCAGTAGTTCTTAGTAACAGGAGGGGAAAGGGAAGTGGGAAGTGGCTGGAGGTTAGGAATCCTGACCAGAGCTAAAACATCTCAGAGTTATGTCCTGCCCTCTTCTGAGAGTGGTCCTCAACTTCTCTGCCATGAAGGTGAAAAGGGAGCTCTACTCCTGTAAATGATGCTTTGCTCCCTCTATCTGGCAAGTAACCTTAATGTCTTCCTTGGAACTTTTACCTGTGCACGGTCAATACTGGGTGCCTGAAAGAAACAGGGTGGTAAAGAAGAAAACCCCCTGCCTTGACACAGGCCACTCCTCAGGAGCTTTTCCCTTACCCCAGGGGCTGTGCAATTCCTGACCTGTGAGCAAGTCTGTGGGGTGTTCTTGCCCATGGTTCTCTTGTACCCACCCATTGCCATGAGGCAACAAGCTCTTGTTCTATTGCACTCCTTTCCCTGTCATACAGAAACCTTACCAGTCCAAGGAGCCTGTATCTGTGTTTCACAGGCAGAAAGAATGAGAACACTTCATCAAAAAGTAAGGAGATCCTTCAGAGGAAGAGGATGGAGGGAAGTAAGAGAAAGGAAAAAGACTGCAGAACCCAAGGTGCCCTAAAAGAGTCAGACTAATAAAACTCCACAGTTGCACAAAGCAACCAGGGAACAGTAGGGCATAATGTAAAGTCTGAAAAAGCTCCTGAAATCTGACATTACTGATTGCTGCATGTTCCTAGCTGATGCCTCTCTTTTGTGAAGTTTGCTATACATCCAGCCTAAGAGGTGTAGAGTGCTCTGGCCTCTGTGTATGATTGTTTTTCAATTCTGCGGCTGAGCTGAAAAAAAGAAAAAAAAAATCCCACAACAAACCTAGCCATCCAAACTCAAGTATAAGTAGGTCAAACTTAACTCTAATGTTTCAGTTTTCTTGTCAAAATGGGAGCCAGAGAGCACAATCATTCAAGGGCTAAAGCATGTTATTCACTGAGCCCTCAATTATTAGTGTAGTTTTGTGATAAGCTTTTGGTTGGTGAATGAGTGTTTTAGACGTGGTTATTTTATATCTGAAAATTGTAAGGAAGCTTCAAAAGAAAAAACTTTGCAATTAAATGGTCTGAATGCTTGAAGATGGGTTGTTTTCAGTTGAAACTGTTCATCATGTTCAAGTGAGCATGTAGGCAGTTCTTAATGGTCACTACAATCCCATGAAAATGGGGGGTGGGGAGGGGTGGAGTGTCAGAGCTGGTTTGGACAAGGATGTATTTGAGACTACCCATAAAACTTTGTTCTGGTTCGCTGTGTGCAAGTGGTACTGCGGAGACCTTCAAAGCGTTGTGCAAGCCTCTGGAAATCAAGCTAGTCCCCAGAGCAGCATGTGAGATTAAGATTTAGCTGCAGCAGGTTGTTTTTGTGTTCATTCCCTCACCTTGTCTCTTGAGTGTACTTGGAGCTGGTGAAGTATCACTTCTGGGACATAGGACACTCCAAGTCTCTGCATCCTATCCCTAACTGTCCCTGAAACAGAAGGGAGAAAGACAGCAAGGGAGCACAAAAGGGGAATGGGATAATGAAATGAAAATTTAGCCAGAGAATAAGTCTTGGAGGAACATCCCCCCCCTTTGCCACTTCCTGTCTCTTTGCCCAACAGCCTACACTACAAAACCTGTGAGCTTCTTGGCGCCTTCTCAATGTTGTACTATTGGCAGAGATGGACTTCATGCCATGTCAGGGCCACTAAGGAATCCATCTCTGTTCCAGTGTGCTCTCCACCTGAGCAGCTGCTGGCAGAGGTGTTACCACCAGAAAATCCCCAAATGGCATGGAAAGCCTTGATCTGTCCATAGAACCAGAAGGCCCTAGGATGTGTGTGAGTAACTAGATCACTGGAGAACCCTCCTAGGAGAGAAACAACTGCTGAATGGACAAGAGAATATCCCTTAGTGTCACAAATGACATCAACCACGTTAAAGTTTTCTGTGCCATTTTACAGGCTGGTGTATGATTAGGAGTGCCATGGCCAATACGTGTTGCTTTTTGCGTGTTTTATTCGTGATAAATATATTCGTGTACCAGACAAGAAAAGCAGTTAATTTCTGTGAGAAGAAATGTGAAAAAACATTTTATTGGAGGTGAATTTCACTGCTGTAGACCCTGTGCACAAATCTTTATATCTGATTTTGTGCTCTTTTAAAATTCCACATATCCCAGTAGCTGGGATATGGATGGATCATGGAGATGCTTCTCTTTTGGGAAGGTACCTGGGTGAGAGTCCAAGCACTGTTGTGGTCTTACCTCCAAGCAAAGCC